TTATTAAATACTGCAGTAAACTGGAGGCTTATTAAAAGATTAGTTAAAATTTTTTAAAAGCCTATATATAAAAAATACTGTAATTAATTACACCGCGTGAACCACAATCTTAATAGAATATTTTTTTTTTTAAAAAAAGCTATACTAAGACTGTGCCGGCGCGATGCAAACCAAATACTAAATTAATAAAATAAAAGCCTATTTAGATAGCTGCTGTATAGTAAAAAAAATAATACTTCTGCTTAATAACTAATAACCCCTAAAGATAGGCTTAATAAATAATATTTAGTAAAATATAAAAAAGATATAAAGCAGGTTGTTTTTTTTATTATAGGTAAGATAGATATTTTATCTACTAGTATTTTTTAAAATTTATTATATAATTAATAAGTATAGCTGCAGCTATACCCACCCCTTAGTAATAAAAAAACAGTATACCTTATCAGACGAAGACTCTGACTTAGAAAAAAAAAGTCTAGTATAAAGTTATATATCTAGATAAAAATTACTAAACAAACCTAAAAAAAATTAAAAAAGTTTTAAAAAGAAATATATAGTTGTATATTTTTTTTTAGTAAAGGCTATTTTAGACTTTACTGTAACTACCTGTACTTTTATTAATTTAGAATATCTAATCTATAGTATTATAAGTAAAATATTTACTAAAATAAATAGCCTGTTAACTATTAGTATTAATCTAAGGCTGGTATAAGAAATCTTAGATAATAAGATACTAATCTACTTTATTATATAGATAAGAATAGATATAGAATCCTATATTAAAAAAAAAGCATACTTTTATATAATATCTAATAATCTTAGATATAACCTAATCCTAGGGAAAAGCTGGCTGTCCTGTTATAATAAAGTTTTAGAACTGGGCTAAGAATAATTATTTCTATATATAACTAAAATAAGACTAAAAGATTTATTATATTTATAGTATATAAATCTAAAACTTTAGCTAATTATAAGAATAAAACTTTAAGACTATCTGTAGAAAAGATTTAAAAAAAGTATAAAAATATTTACAGTTTTACTTATTAATATTTAGAAAGTACTCTAAACTAAAAAGACAGTTAATCTATATATAATATTTTTTAAATATTATTAGGACTTTTTGCCTCTCTTCTAATCAGAGAATACAGAGAAACTACTGCTATACTAAAAAAAGAATATTAACTATAAAATTAAGCTTATATACTAAAATAAAAAAAAGCCAGAAGTTTTATAGGGCTCTTTTTATAATATATTCTAAAAAAAACTAATAGTCCTACAGTCTAAACTAACTAAACTATTAGAAAAAAACTTTATATAGGTTAGTTACTTCTTAG